GCTGCAGGGGCACCTCGTGTCCGAGGAGAAGCAGAAAGAACAAACATGCGACAGATCTGGATGGACCGGCACATTTGGTGTCGGGGGAATGGAAAGTGGTTTGATTCCCACAGGAGGCATCATTCTGCGTCCGGTGTGCTGTGTCTGAGACACTGGGTAGGTTTCCAAGTGGCCATGTCAACGAGGCAGGGGGATGCGGGTGACCTGGTCCTCGGCAAGAGGTCAGGGATGGAGTTATTGGTATTAAAGGAGTCCTTCGTCTTTACGAAAACCAACTCCCGCTCCCTGCCATCGAGTGGACGCCGACACACAGTGACCCTGTAAGACAGGGTAGAGCTGCCCCTGTGAGTTCCCGAGACTGTAACGCTTCAAAGGAGTAGAAAGCCCGGTCTTTCTCCCGGGGAGCAGCTGGTGGCTTCTAACTGCAGACCTTGCAGATCACAGTCCAACTCATAACCACTACGCCTCCAGAGCTCCCTACTATACAAACAGTCTTTAAAGACACGGGCCTGGGTGAGACCCAGAATGAGGGTAGAGGGAAGAAATTCAGGGGCTCCTCTACACCCAACACCCTGCCATCCTTCCATGTCCTGCAAGGTCCGTTTCAAAGGGCACCCCCTCTCTGAGCCCTCTTGACTTCCCTCACCGGGACCCGTCTTGAATCTCTAAATTCCAGCATGGCTGCCCTCGGGCCTCCATTCGGGCACAGCCCGCGCTTTATCGGTGACGAGGTCACTCTTGATCAGAGCCCGCCTGCTTGGCTGTAGACTCCTGGAGCCCCAAACTCCAAGCTCACTGCAGCTCCTAGGACCAGGGATGGGTTTGGCGCCCTCTTGAGTCCCCAGCTGTGCAGAGCTCAGCCCCAAGGAGTCAGTAGGAATTCCCTAGGGGACCACCTCAGAGCAGCTCCTAGAAGGAGCTGTCCGGGGGAGGGCAATGGCCCAGAGAACGTCTTCAGCAAGCCCACAGCCCACACTCTCAACCACAGAAGCTCGGGAGCCTGGCTTCCGTGAATTCCACATGCACGGTCCAGCCAGCACGTCCTCAGGTGCCCTTGCCTTGATTCCGGCTCATGGAGACCCCACAGGACGGGGCAGGACGGCCCCCTGGGGCTGTCATCTTGATAGAAGCAGATGCCTGGGTTTTCCCTCACAGAGCCACTGGGTAGGTTCGAACTCCAAGATGTCACAGTGCAGCCCAGCACGGAACCACTGTGGCGCCAGGCCGCCTGGAAACCAGCCGAGGACCAGTGGCTGCCCGGGATCCCTGTGCGGGTAAGTTCTCCGGGTCTTGCAGGAATAGGGAGTTCTGGGTATAATTCAGAAGCACTACCGTTAGAGGCTCCTAAAACAAAAGTGTCCCTCGACACATTTTCCGTCTCGGACTTTGTTCCTTTATTGGGGGCACAGGCTTTGCTAGTTCCGTCCCGGTCTCTTAGGGGCCCCTCAGGATTTCCTGACCAACAAGAGATCAAACGCGAATGCATAACGCAGTAAGAGACTGTCCCTCACAGGAAGCCAGACTGACCCTCGGCCAACTCTGCCAGGTAAGCAAGAGCTCCCTACAGAGACGAGGTGTGTGTGCCCCTCGGGCCAAGAGACACGCACAGAAACAGCCGGGCCTTACCTGGAAGGGTTGTTGTGTTTTTAGGATCCTCAGGGGGCAGCCTGTTGTCATCGTCGTCCACGACATCGTCGTGCGAGGGAGCTGAGACCTGAAAGACACCATGCACTTCCCCGTGACCTCCTCGTTGTAGGAGGTGGCCCCAGCTGGGGTGGCAACTTGCACCCCGCGGACCTCTCCATACCTGGCCTTTGTCCCCCTCAACGTTTTCACCAGCCTGTGAGCTCACTGTGTCTAGACCTTGCCGACTCGAGGTGGGACGTCTTTCCTCCACCTGCCTCTCCTCCACACACCTTTCCACACAGGCGCACACGGCAGACACATGCAGCAGCCGTGTCTGCCGTCACGGATGGGAAGAGCATGGATCGGAGCCCGACCTCGCCTTAGCTAGGAGACCGTGCCAGCTCTCTGAACCCCCCTGGACTTTGGCTTTCCCTCCTTGGGCCAGTGCGGTGGTTGTTAGCTGCTGCCTAGTCAGCCCCTGGCATGCGGGATGCCCAGCGGGGCACTGAATTGCTGTGATCCCTAAGACTTTCACTGGCTGAATCTTGTTTTGTGGCCGGGCCTTTCCTCCTCCATGTTTGCCTGGAAGCTCTGCAGAAACCTGCTCGGCACAGCAGCGATGCACAGGCTGCCACGGGCAGTGGGGTGGTGGCTGTGCATACAGCGCTGTCGCTGGGACTCGAACCCGGGTCTCCAGGACAAGGCAAGAAAGAATTCTATCACTGGACGCCCAACTTCCCCCTCGTTGTATTCAAGTATTCTAATTCTTCACAGAATTAATGTTGGCATCAAATGAGCTAAGAAACACAGGGGAGACCACCGTGGGGACACCTGGCTGTCCTCCCCAGTGCCAGCTCCCCACTTCCGGGAGAGGAACTTCCTGGGGCCCTGCAGGCTGGGTTTCACCCCGGAGCTATGCCTACAGAGTTCCCAGCAGCTCCATGTCAAATGTGCATGAAACTCAGGAGCCTGGGCCCCCACCCTGAGTCTCGCAGCCTAGCATGTAGGGAATTAGAGGCCACAGAAGGAGATAGGGTTGGCTGAGAAACTGGATTATTCTGAGAAACCGGATTATTCAAAGAGTATGTGGAGGCATCAGCTAAGGCCACCGTGGAAGAAACAGTCAGCCTGTGTGATCCAAGAATTGTAAATAATAAAATCCAAATCTGAAGGCGGGAATGGTTTTGGAGCTAAAATTCTGAATACTCGGTTTGCAGTGGGCTTGACCGTGGAAGTCCAAAATCCATTTGCAGGGCCCCACATGGACGAAGCTTCTGGTGAGCCCCCTCTGACCGCAGTCCGGGATGTGACTAGCCTTGCTGGCAGACTGCATTGTAAAGCCGGTTACGCGGATGGACGCTGTGAGGTTAAAGTACGACACCTTGTCGTTTGATCTCCCTCTTGACCCATTTTAAAGTTGTTTCCCTTTTTAATACTTTCTGCCTTCTCTCTGATGGAGGTTTTTCTGTTTTGTTTTGTTAGTGCTGTTGGGGTTTTGTGAATTTTGCTTGGTATGATTTTGGTATGTGAAATCCAGCACAGGCAGCTAGCTCTGGAGAGACAGTAACTGGATTAATCATTATCTAGGGCCAAAAGGCGGAGGAGGCTGGGGGGATGCAGGGAGCTAACAACAAGGAAGAGGAGGAGAATATGTTCTGCGATTGACTGTGGGGAGGATTGCACAAATCTTCTCAACGTAACTGAACAATGGTATTGTATGATGTGTGGATTCTATGCCGATAATACTATTAAAAAAGAAAAGTGTGCTAAGCAGCTTCAGAGGTAATCCTCTTTCCAGCGAATTAGGAGACCACGAAATCCACAGGCGGCAGGGCTCAGAGACCAAGCTAAGCCACTAGGGATGCCCAGAAAGCTCAGTGCTCAAGCAGCAGGCACGCGACAGGCCAAGGGCTGCAGACGCTTCCCCCGGCCCTCGCCCTGCTTGGCAGAAGCAGGGAAAAGCCACACTCCCAGGACATGGCAGAGTCAAGAATTGAGCCAAATTCTGCCTGGCACCAGCCTCACCCTAGGTGCTGCTGCGCGGAGCCTTTCACAAGACACGGACTCACCTGGGTGGAGGCAGGCACCTCGAGCTCAGGGCCAAGAGTCTCGGGATCTGCAGACAGAAAAAAGGTGGTTATTCCCCGGCCAGGGTCCCTGCGTGCTGGCTGCAGGGCTCTAAGGGCCGAGGGCAGTTCAACGCACTGTTGTTCAAAGGAACACCACACTGGAAGCCAGCAAATACCCCTCCACGAGGGACAAGCCCCCCGTTACGACAGGGCCACAGAAAGCACTGGAGCCTCGAGGGATCTTTGGGAAAGATACCGACGGCAGACAGGGCCGCGTGAAAAGGGCCAGACGAGAGCCCAGCCATGCAGACTGGCGCACGTGTTAAAGACACAGATCTCCGTGACACTCCTCGGTGTGTGTGGTGTGACAGGCGGCAGGGCACATGCACACCCAGGAGCACAGAGAATGGAGGACGACGAGCACGTTGGCCCCAAGGATCGCTACGCGGGCTCCAGAGCATGTGTGCACACGCTCGCTCCACACGGGCCCTGTCTGAGCGCGCCTCTGCCGTCAAGGGGGGACTGCGGCGGACAAGTGCTCTGTGTCCTACACCTGTCAGCACTGAGGTGCCTGCGCGAGGCAACAACAGTATTGGTCGTTTTGCCTTTATATTAAAGTGATCTTAGCCTTGCCACCTTAAAAAAAAGCTCTAACAATGATTTTTCTGCCATGGGGGGGGGGGTTCAATTTTGAAATCAGAACTAATATCAGATTTTTAACAAAAATCAAAGCGGACGTCTTCTCAAATCATTGAGACTCTGCAGTACGTTTGTGAAGATGCGGTCTCACATAAAATGAGTCTTTAGATAGATCGAGCACTGTGTTAGTCTGGGTACTTTGGAGAAACAAATCCACAGTGACTCATGTATAAGAGAGAGTTTTATGTAAAGAAAATGTGCATCACGAAAACCTCCCAACCCAATGCTGCCCAAGCCCACAAGTCTAACATTAACCCATACCCAACACCAGTCCACAAAGTCCTCCACCTCACAAAACAGAGGCAATGATGCCGACTGCAGGAGGAAAGCTGAGTCAGTGAGCCTGTAAATGTGTAAGCATCTCAGCACTAGCAGGGGTCTCCACACGGCTGCTCCAGCACCCAGGGCTGCATCGGGATAGGTCCATGTGGCTTCTCCTTGGGGATGTCTTGTAGGAAGTCAATCTTGCAAGCTGAAGCAGGGAACTGCTAGGCAGCTGCACCCGGTGCGACCATCACAAAGCAAGAGACCCGAGAACTAGAAAGGCGAGGCTCACCACCCATTTATCCCTCCGCCTTTCAATTAGCCCCACATGTGATTATCGGCCAGGCTGGCACAATTAACTAACTCAAGCACTGTAAGTCAGGCCAGGAGGACCTCACAGATGAATTTAAGGCAGAGAGGGTCAGCTCAGAAGGTTTCCAGGAGCAAAACCCGGCACACACACACAACTGGCCAATGAGTGAGGAAGAAGTCCAGAGACGTGCCGACTGCACTGTGGGCTGGCCAGGGCGAGCAAGGCTGTCGAGGAAGAAGCACAGCTTCTTCAGGAGGGTGGCCCTTCAGCTCACGGCCTCTGGACATGTCACCAGGAGGGATGGTGCTTGGTAAAGCAGAGGGTCTGTGAAAAGCAGTAGGACCCTCGAGGGGATGGATAGATGGATGGACGGACGGACAGACGGGGCGGCTGCGGCAATGAGCACAAAAACCACGGCCGCGAGGATGACGCCGAGGCAGGCGGTGCACTCTGCTGTCGTGCACGGACGGACGGAGCCACGGGTGAGTGAGATCGACCAAGAGCACCAACCACGCCCACAAAAAAGGTGAACATCTTGCTAGATCTTCTCCAAGGACAGAGGGTGATCACGAGGGCTTCTTAGGAAGACTTTGGTTTGGTTTGGTTTCGTTTTAAACTGCACTGGAGAAGAAAGGGCCCGCCCAGCTGCCCTGAGGTTTCCTTCCCACACAACTCTCCTCCTGCTCATTCTTGGAGGGTTGGCTGGGGCAAGACTCTTGAGAATTTTCTCGAAATGTTACCCTCTCCATCCTACGGTGCTGATCTGACCACTTCAGACTCCTTTTTTTGTCCCCAAACGCAAAGAACATTTAAAAGGAGCACGCGCTGAGCCCTGAGGATGCAAACTGCCCAGGTGAGAGTGCATAATTCCCCAGGGAAGGGCTCTCACTCACTGCCATCCAGTCAGGGCTGACTCACAGCAACCCCGGTGGGCTTCCGAGACCGGGACTGTTGACGGGAGTAGAAATCCCAGTCTTTCTCCTGAGGAGCTGCTGGTGGTTTTGAACTGCCGGCCGTGCGGGTTGCAGCCTAGCAAGATGGAACCACCGTCTCCAGGCGTGCAGAGCCTGCGATGACGGCTGGCTGCGGCCTCCCATCCCGATCCTTGTACTGGCTAAACGTTTCCATGATTTCTGCGGCCATGTTTCCACTCACCGTCCGGCATCACCTGATATAAGCAGTCATTTCTCCCGACACTGCCTTTTTGTTTGTCCTAAAACGTTAGTTAGCTTGAACAGCAACTAACAGGTGGGTGGGTTTGGGGCCACCTGGCAGGAGAAGGACTGTGGGCCAGGCACCCTCGTGAGGCCTTCCTTCCACGGAAGCAGTTTCTGCAGGAACCCCTCAAGGCAGCAGGAGGCCAGGGACCCGAGGGAGAGCCGGGGCCAGGGGCCAGTGCTGGGCAGCAAACCAGGTCCCGAGGGGTCAGGCGCTGGCTGCACGGTGACAGGTGGAAGTGCCGCTTCCCCAGATGCTGTTTTCTTTCCAGCCCATTGTAGTTTGCCATCAAGTTGTAAGGATGAAGCATCCATGTGTTTACACAAAGACACCCGAGGGGGTGGGGCAAGCACTAGAACTGACTGTGCTCGCACAACTCTTGTTAAAGGCGACTGAGCCCTGGGGGAGGGGGTGGTGGTGATGGTTGTACAAAGACACCCTGAGCCCGGAAGATAAGAAAGGACTAGGAGGGGGAAGAGGGAGGGGGTGGGGTGAGCCTGCTCTTGTTTGGGAGAGAATTTCTTGCGGAACCACCCTCCCCCGACAAGGGAGAAGACCGCATGCCTGGAGGAGCAGGTCCCGCCTACCCATTGTGCAGAGGGAAAAGCAGAGGCCCCAAGAGGGTGAGCAGCTGGCCCAAGGTCGCACAGCCAGTTAAAGACGGGTCCAGAGTCAGTCCTGGAAGTCATGGGAGAGTTCACGCACCCGCTTCTGTGGCTCCCAGCCTGAGGGGCAGAGAACTAGTGTGCAGCAGGGGAGGCCGGGACACGAGCAAAGGGCAGCAGGGAGGGGGCGGCACTAAAGAGAAGAGACGGCTGCCCACCGATGGCCATTTAGCCCAGTGGTTCTCCAGTGCCAGTCCCGGCTCTGAGCATGCTGAAGAGGGGGGGCCCGGTCATCAGGGTTTGTAAACCCCGACTCATGCAGTCAGACAGAACTCTCTAAAAGAACAAAATCCAAACTCACTGCCATCGAGTCCACGATGACTCACGGCGACCCTAAAGGACAGGGTAGAACTGCCCCTGTGGATTCCCGAGATTGTAACTCCGGATGGGACTAGAGAGCCTCGTCTTTCTCCTGGAGTGCGGCTGATGGTTTTGAACAACTGACCCTGCGGTTGGCAGTATGACGCATCCCCACTATGCCACCAGGGTTTGTAAAAGGCTCCCCAGCCCCTCTGGAGGCCCCAGGAAGAGAGCCCGGGACGGCTTCCCCACCCAGCGCTGACCCCAACATGGGAGTGTCCCAGAGCGCAGACATTCAGCTTCTGGAGCCTCGGATTTCTTGGAAGCATTTGGAAAATTTGTTTGGTATTATCTCAAAAGCCCAGGAATGTTAACAGAATGCAATTTTCTAATAATAAAGAATGATGCTAAGTCTGAAGTAATGAGGTTTGGTTTTTTTTAAGCAAGTTCTCCAGATGCCTCCAGGAGCTTTGGATTCAAACCACGCCGGCGGCCAACCGGGAGACGGGCAGTGGTGCGGCTGAGTGGCTGCTAATAACCACCGGTCCCTGTTTGCGGAGGGAACTGAGACCCCAGTCATGGTGCCGATGGCAAGTGGCTGTCCAGTCCTGTGCCATCACCCCGGCCACTGGGATGCTCACTCGGGCGATGGGCTCATCTTGCAGGACTCGTCAGACATTTCCACGGTGAGCCACAGCATTCCCTTCAGCTCGTTTCCTGAGGTACATCACCAGGCCTTTCCTCCAGTCTGCCTTAGTCTGCAAGCGCCACTGAAACCTGTCCACTGTGGCTGACCCAGCTGGCACTGGAAAGACCAGCGGCTGAGCCTCCAGCATCACAGCAAGCCACCACAGCACAACAAATGGGCAGAGGGAGGTGATTCTAAGGGCACGCGAGTAAAATACCACTGGGGGCGGAGGGGAGACGCAAAGCCCGTCTGCAGACAACTGGACAGTCCTTCACAGAAGGGTCACATGGAAGGGACGATCCAGCCAGGGTGCAATATTGCACCGATGAAACACACAACATTCCTCTCTAGTTCTTTAATGCTTCCTCCCCAAACCCCACCCCTACTATCATGACCCAGTTCTACCTTACAAATCC